GCAAGTCGGACCGCCAGGGGCCATGCGGGGTTTAGAAAAAATGCATAGCGCGTCATTTGTCTTGATTATTGGCGTTTTCCTGTCTGCCAATCAATGGATTGTATAGTGTGACGCTAGTAGCTCCGCCCTAACTGTACCGTACCGTTTCCTATGGCCCTACATCTGAAGGAGGACCATGAATGGTGCGGTACGGTTCGGTTGTATGGGCCACTTTCATAATGGAAACACTCAAAATAGCGTACTGTACCGAACCGACCCGAACCGATCCGCTCAGTGGAAACGAGGCATTACTCTTTGTCGATATACAAATTATATTGTTAGTCATGTCCATCAATTGTCCTGGATCTGTTGGGACAATCTCAATTTTAGATCCCTCTCTCATTGTTCTGTTTCCCCCCCCCCCCCCTGATTTCTTTGCTTCTAAGCACATTAAAAAAAAAAGTTCCAAAAGTAGAACCCACGTGATTGAGTAAATGTACCAAATGCTCTGCTCGCATTTCAAACAGTAGGAGCATTAGGATTGGCTGAGTCACTTACTGGTTTGTAGAGAAACCCCTGCAGAGGCTGCAAACCCTGGGGATTTGCAGCAAATACATTACTTTTAAAGACAAGTATCTTTTCTTATTTATTTATTTTTGAATGTATTGTTTGTACATATTTGTAATGCATTATCTTTATAATACATTCAGAAAATGTGGGAGGGAGGGAGGGGGTAACTCAAACATTAAGTGCCCCTTTACAAATATAGGTGAGTTTTATAAAACAGTTTGTTTAATTTACCACAATTCAGTCTTAAGTGAATAAACCCAAGACTATTTATTCACACTTCTAGATTCCACAGCTTCTTCACTAACGCAGCTCTGGGATCTTCCATTTTCTCCTCCACTAGGTTCAATAAAAGGCTTATTTGGAGATTGGTATCAGTCGTATTATCTTCTTTAACGACTTGCTGGCTGATCGAAGGTCTCTTAACCCACAGATACCCATTGCTCCTTCTCCATAGCCTGTGTCTACTGGTAATGGAGGAAGCTTTAAATCTTGTGCTTGAAAATTACACCTGGTTACAAGTAGTGTAAATTAGATATGTGAATGGGGAAAAATTTTGTTCATTTTGAATTTTGTTTCGGTAATTCCAAAATGAGTTCCTGTAACATTTGGATATTCTAAACTTGGAATGAAACATAATGTGTCTGAAAATGTTGGACATTTTTTATTCCCTATAGGGCACTGTTTAGTAGATGGCTCCCTTAATGTGTACCCTGTTGTGGGACTGACCTACTTACGATAAAAAATTAGGGTGCTGTTAAGTAGATAGCTCCCCTAAATTTGTACCCTGATGTGGGACTACCCTACGTTGGATACCAAACTAGGGTGCCACACTGCACAAAGGTAAATGACATTGCATAAGAATATGTGCATGTAGGGGCAATTAACTGTGCACGCATGGGTAAAATCACTGTGCGTGTGCATGGGTAAATGAACGCGTATATGACTGTGTGCATGTATGGGTAAATGACAGTGCATATGACTGTGTGTAAAGGCAAATAACTGCACCCATGGGTATATAAACGTGTATATTAGTGTGGGTAGAGAACAAGACTATACCCTGAAGAATTGTGGTGGTGGTCTCTGGTAGTAGAGGAGAAGGGATGGACAATGCAGTGAGAGAGGTCTGGATCCCAAGCTGGAGACCAGTCCACACTCTTCCCATTACAGTTAGCGTTGTGCGAGAAGAGTGTAGGTTACAGAAGGGTATTGTGTTTGGGTTGGTAGGACTGAAAGAGTTATCTGCATGTTTTACTCTTTGAAATGCTAGTAGTACTGTGAAAACTGAATGGGAATCCCTATCCTGTGTAGCTGACCGTGAGTATACCTTTCTCCATAGGACCTCCTGACATAAGCTATTCCACTTCCCAGAGCTTTACGGTAGACGCGTGACCTGGCCCTGATGTTCCAATGTGTGTTGTTCTACTTCCCGGTGATAGTGGAATACTTCTCTCCTCTATTACAGATAACTCCTCTTAGATTACCCCATAGTATAGAGGAACTGTCTCCCATTCCCTCAGCCATTCGCTCAGCAAGGTTGAGGCATTCTGGCACCAGTGTTAGGAAACTGCCCTGCATTCTGATTGGTTCCCATTCTGTCATAGCATTCTCCCATCACTTTTTCTGGTGTTTTTGGTATGAGGTTCAGAGAGCTATTTATCATTCATCCAGTGGTTGGCTGATAGTTGTGAGATACCAGAGACGTATCTGACGTTGCTAGAAGTGTAGCACTGAGATAACAGGTTGCTTTAATAGTGCCCGGAAATCCTTGGTGACACAGAGAAAGGAAGAACGCATTCTAGATACACTGTGCGGTTCAGGTGTAGATACAAATTCAGGGACCAGGAATCTGTTTCTGTTACAGTTCTCACTAAAATTGTAATATTGATCTAGCTAATAGCCATCTTCATGTTATTTACTGGGTTATCTGGTCTATGCATATGTCCCAGGACTCTTGGAGAAGGGGGGGGTCTTGTTCTATTTTCTAATAACTCAAAATATGAAAGGTTTGAAATCGGTATGAAAGGCAGACACCACTGAGGCATGCCAGTGATATAAAAATGCTCAGCAAAATTAGCCCCTTGCAGTTCAAGAGAGGGACAGCTGGGAGGTAGAAGAAACTAATGCAAACTAATTGTACAATGCGTGCATGTTTGAGATCATTTTAGAGTCCTCTTTTCGTTAAATAACCATTATAAGCATCCAGATCACTTCATCTCAATGAAATAGTCTGGGCACAGTGGCCTACTGTTTTGCTCACGTTCTTTCCTGAATCCCTATGTATATTTAGACAAATGGAGGTCATTTAGTTACTCCAATGGCCACTGGAGGGAATGCCCGCCTGCCAACGTCAAGGCAGACCCCCCAAAGCGGGTCCTACACTGACCCTTCACCCTGCTTCCTTGAGTTTCTGGCAAAGATATCTCTAATGAGACAGAGAGGGTTATTTTTTATATACACCCCTATATATTAACCCTTAATAGGGAACACATGGGATGGGCGGCAGCATTGTAACCTAGCTGTGTGATACTACACTTTTTGTATCACACAGCTAGGTTACAATGCTGCCGCCCATCCCATGTGTTCCCTATAAAGAACTTTTTTCTTTGGTTTTTAATACTGTTTTGCTCCTCTAATTTTAACATGGCCGTTTTGGAGATAATGTAATTGCATGGTTAAACACACCTCTAGTGGATGTTACCCTAACAGCCACTACATGATGCTTCTTGACGTTCAACCCATAAGGACTTTGAACGTGTCCTGGTGCTTCTCAAAGAGAAGCTCTTTTGATTGGTGCATCACAGTGGGTGCCAAATGTGCAAATTAAGACCAACATGCTTCTCTATGAGAAGCATTTGGTTGGACCAAATAGTCACGAAGCCTGCCAAACTCAGCAGAGACGCTGAGTATTGGATCAGAGTTTACTAGACAGTCTCTTCCCTTAATAGACAGCCGGCAGTGGAAATGCTAAAAAAATACATACAAATAGAAATGCTTTTTTAAATAAATTTTTTAAAAATACATTTCAGTTATTTTATCCAGAGATGTGGGCTACTGAGAAATAAATCAAGAAGGTCCCAGATCTGACATGACTGGAGGTCACAGCCAAAGTGTCCCCTTCACTTTTATTGAGACTTCCAAATTTTGGAAGGTATGAGTAGTGCAGCCTGTTCTTTATCACTTTATAGCACTGCTTTACTTTACAATATAAAGACTTAACCTGAACAAGAGATACTGTGACCCTATAGAATAGAACACATTAAACTCACTGTAAAGATACTCTGCTCCATTATACAACATGTTTATCACTGTATAGCTACAGATACATCCTTTATCACTGTGTAGATACATTAAACAGTACATCATGTTCTCTATCACTGTCTACATACTCTGATAACTATACAACACATCCTCCTATAACCTCCGATCCAGTACTAGCACGATAGTTAGCATACCGCAATACAAAAATAAAGTGGCTCGATCCTCCTTTTCTTACAGAGCACCGCAATTATGGAATAACCTCAGGGACACCGTTAAATCTTCATTCAATCTAAAATCTTTTAAGAGATCTATGGCAATATACCTCAGCACAGAATGCACCTGTCGTGGTTCAATATATTTATTACCTGTTATGTATTACATTTATATGTGTGTATATATATAGTTTGTATATTGTATTTTTGCAATATTGTACCCTATTGTAACAATGCAGTGTTTTGTGGACAAAGACCCAGGACATACTTGAAAACGAGAGAAATCTCAATGTAGCCATCCTGGTCAAATATTTTATAAATAAATAAATAAATATTCATTATTACGCTAAACACACTCTGATCCATTAAAGAATAGTTTCCCTGCATTATATTGTGAGCCTCTACACAATAAATTATGTGTGTTTATATACTTTGCTCCTATAGCTAACATTCATTTTCACTGCTCTGCTTACTGCACACCCACATTGTCACTGGCTAGATACTCTGGAGCACTATACACTGCAGCATGGCCAGCTCATTATCCCTGTTTAGGGTAATATTTATTTCTACAGCTTGCATCTGTTCTCCCCCAAAGTATTCATTACTGACACACACAGGAGGCTAGCTGCTATTTGTATTATTTATATCAGTGCCCAGGATTAGCCTGGTTTATTAATTATGCCCACTGAGAAGTCCAGGATTAGCATACATTAGACAGAGGGTCACAGTAAATAAGTTATTAAACTCAGAGTCCACCCTAAACCCTGATCTCTCCTGAAAACCCCACGTGTTTTAAAAAGTCCAGGGTTAAAGCGCTCGCCGTTTCCCATTGGCTGCTTACTCCAGTCTTTGCTCCCTGACATCCAATCCGATTGATGGAACGGGGAGGCGTTCTAAACCCAACGTTCCACCTTCTGTCGTGACGTCACAGCAGAGGCTGATTGGAGGCGGGAGACACCTGGCAGAGCTCAGTCAGTCGCCCAGCAGTCTGGGTTGAGGAAGGAAGGGGAGGCGTGTTGTTCCCTCTGTCTGCCACATTCCCAGCGATGGCTAGCAAGGTGATGGAAAAGGCAGCTTCTCCACTCATTGGAGCTTTCAGCAAGCGAGCCCCCTGTCTGGCTGTTCAGCTATGGAGAATCCCATGCAAGGCATAGAAAGTCCAACAAGGCACACAGCAATAATTGTGTTGTTCTGAATAGAAGATAAAGTTCATTTTTTTTGTTGTTGCAAAATTAGTTCATTTATTTTCTTTCCCATTTTTCTTCATTTTTTTGGGTGGGTGAGGAAATTGGAAATGATCCTGTATATTGCAAAGTGGTGATCAGGCTAGCAGAGACTCAAAAAATGCAAGTATCCCACATTGGCATGGAATAAAGGACCTTAATTTGGTTTAACAATCAAAATCCAACAGATTCCCAAATCATTTTTTTGTGTGCTAATTGTGAGTGCTATTCCAGTCCTGGATCTGTGAGCTAGAAGAGAAATCCTCATTCCTTTACTTAAATGTGGAACTGAGTTACAGAAATTGAAAGAAGAAGAAAAAAAAAATAAGCAAAAAGGATTTTCTCTTTCTGTACATTGAATGCAAATCTTAAAAGGGAATACCCAGATCACTTATCAAGCAAGCTATAGAGGATTTGAAGATGCATAGAATTAAAATGAAACCAGTATTAAACACTATGTGACCGCTCTGGGGGAAAGGAAAAGCTCTAGCAAGTTAAACAGCTGAATTTCTGTTAATTTTTGCACTAAATGCCAATTTTATTTAGCCACATGGATGCAAGATTTTGTGCTTGTCTACATTAACCCATCTGCTTTCTAATTGAGCTGCAATAAAACTGCAAAACATTTTTATATATGCATATATTCTTTTTTTTTTTTGCCAAATATCTGTTATTCTTTGTTAATCATTTTATTTCTATTTTGCAATATTAGAAGCAATAATTTATATCAGAAATCATAACAATCAGCTGACAGGTGGTAATTAAACTAAAACCTATAGAAGAGGGTGTTTCGGATTGACCAGCTGATAATTTGTGTTTTGTACATACATATTTCTTTGAAGATTGACATTCAACCGAGGATTTATTTATACCAGAGGATTTATTTATACCACAACTAGAAGCCATTTAAACTCCATATAAACAGAACAGTGTGTTCAGATTTTCCATTTTCTGATTATTATTTTTTTTTGCTCCTCTTAAAAGCATTTTCCCCATCATATTGGAAGATTGACAGCCATCCTGCAATTATCTAGAACGAAGCATTTTAGAATATTTTTTTTTTGACGTTTTCTTTTTCTTCCTTTAATTCTAAAACTTGACAAACAGAACTGCTTAATTATTTTTTAATATTCACAGTTTGCCTTTATTTTTGTATTTCTTAATATCAAGACATTTCGTTTTCTCATTGACATCTCTATTACGTCTTATTTAGGATTTGCTTTATTTTTATAGAGTGATTTTTAAAAACAAAAAAAAATTGTAAGAAAATTGTAATCAATGAACTATTAGCTAATCTATTGATTGGTCATTTCCTTTTTATAAAAATTAACCACAAGGTTGTTTTATGTGGTGCATTTCCCTTCAATATAAACGCCTTTAGTTTTAAGTGTGCCAGTTGTACGTTGATATTTAATAGGAATGGATATATTTTAGCTTACAAGTGACTGAAATTTTATTTTTGGAGATATTCGTTTTTATTTTTTTCCGAGACTTGTGGTATTAATAGAAATTTTATTTGCACTATGATGGAAGTGCCGTCATGCCCGAAGAAAAGTCTTTCGCTGTCCCTCCCTGTCCCGCGGGAGGGACAAGCCACCCTAAAACCTCCTCAACATCTATGGAGACAACCAAGGACGCCAATAAGAATAAAACACAGGGGGTACTCGGATACAGACCGCCATCCTCACCGGCAGATGGAGCGATCGGATGCGATGGATACCAGCGACCGACCTGGTCTGAGGAAGTCCAGGATGTCCTGGCCATCATCCTTTCATGGGACAACCAGTAACAGTCATTCAAGCCATAAGCAACGGTAAGCATTAAGAAAGGGTGATGCAGAATGTTGAGTCATTGCTTTGAAGTTATGTTTTTCTGCATTTATAATGTCCTTAATGTAGGTGATAATCTATGCAATTACTTAACTAATATCCCGTTGTCTTCCTGAAAGCAGAAAGAATTTGTTTTGACGTGTAACAGATGGCTAGAAAAATTAATTTAGCATCACGTGTTCTTTAAGATTGGATTCATATTCCTATCTGTGTACCCATCAGGATAGAAATTGTCGCAGCCATGTGTAAGATGATGATGGTGATGATAATCCCAAACATTTCGTGTTGGTGACCTCATCAAGGACTCAGTAGGGTAATTGTCCAACCAATTTCTTGGTCGCTCCTCCCCTGTCTGAGATCATCATTACAGCTGATCTCAGCCAAACTAATCTTCTCATATGGTGTGGGTAATATGAATAATTAAAAATAAATGCTTCTTTATGGGGAATGTTCAGCATCTTCCTTCAGAGGACAAAGATGCCAAACCAAGAGGAACTTCTGGTGGCTATCTAAGTGAGGCAGTGTTTACAATTATCAGCCTTCAGGTTCTTTGCACCAGAACCACTACATTAAGCTCCAGTGGTACTGGTTCTTAGAGTGTCTGTTTAGCTAGATTTTCCCATAGTTCCATTCGCATCAACATGTACACCATCATAATTGGTTTCTCATGCATGTAGCACTCAAAAATGTGAATGTGTCGCATTTTAAAGCACCAATGAGAAGCCAGATGTAGAAAAATGTAATGCTTAATGTACTCATTTGTTGGCGGTTTCACCCGAACAGTACTGTATAGGTATATTTTTTTTTACCAAAGTGGATCATGTAAGACTCATGTTTCATGGACGAGAAGTTTACTTGAAGAATTTTCCTAGTAATCTTGTGTATTGTTTAGGGGGCGGACTAAGCAAGATAAACAGAACAGCTTGATGTAGTTATGTTGCCTAGAGTCTCTGGGTGGGTCCCTCGGTTTTTTGCCAAACTATTTATTTAACAGTCCTTAAATAGCACTCTTATCCAGAGTATTTACAATGTACGCAAAGACAATATTGTTGATCATACAGACTGAGGATATGTAATTAGAGACACTGATACAAATAGTGAAGCATTTTGACAAAAACAGCTCTTTCCTAAGCAACTCAAGACTGCCCACTTCTCATCCTATTTGGGAATAGTGAATTCACACTTCTGCAACAATAGTGTCAATTTTGTCAAACCTAGGCATCGTGAACCAAAACCATTCAGATTGGACGAAATTGACCCTGATAATGCAGAGAGGTAAACGTTACTTTATCAATGTGGCTGTGGAGGAGGTGGTCTTTGTGTTCTAGAAAAAAGACCCAGTTTTGTTTATCTGCTTCTCAACAGTTGGATGTACAAAAATGGTAGAGAGCAATCAGAGACTCTAAACGACATAAATGTATTTTCCTAGTTCTTCTTTTAGCTCACCCTACATTACAATATTATGCTATATGTTCTACTATGTAAATACATTGACTATTATCACAGTGTATATTTTTCCTATCTGGTTCCTGAAATATAAACCATAGGTGGTTTTGGTAAGTAATAATACATTTATTAATAGTTTGTTTTCTTTTTTTCCCATGCACATCCTGTTCCTGTTCTCCAGTAATAAGGACCTGTTTAGTCAGGGCTGTTAAATTGTTGCGGGGGAATCTAGGGGGTTGTATATAATCCATTAGCCTGAGGGAGATGGAATGTTGACTATAAACAGAGTAAAGTGGTGGGAACAACACATGACATCATTAGATAAACAGCGATCTAATTAGGACTCTGTGTTCACTTGAAGTTTGCGAACTCACTGTTCGTCAGTATGCGCAATTGTTGGCATGCCATCACCTCTAACCTCTAATGTATTTGTATTATTATACTGTATTAATTATCACTTCCTTTTGTTATTTATGAGATTTGTAGAGTACATTTTAGTAGTGGACTGAAAGCACCATAACCTGTACAGCCCTTTCTAAAACTGTTTTGACAAATTTCTCTGGGAGGGCACCAAGACACTCCTGGTACCATAACTGGTACAGCAGTCACTCCTCTGGTGGTAGTACTAAGATAGCCATTAGGTGACAGAAGGGACAGTTCCTTGCTTAATTCTCCCTACTAATGTCATGAGCTGGAGTTGACCACATCAGACTCTCCTGCTGCTGTGGATAATATCTGCCATGACGCTTTTCAGGATGGACTAACTAGGAATTGCAAAATGGGTGTATTGGGCAGCTGTACCTGCAGAGCTGCAACGGTCCTACAAATATCTCCAGAAAAGACTGCATGATGACTGAAAATTGGGAGTTGGCATGTAGATAGTAGCCTACCATGTATAGCTGTATAGAGGACTTTGCACAATTTGTTTCATGTTTTGGACTTAATAGCTCATGCCCAGTGACTTGTCCTAGAACTCGACAAATTTTAGAGCACAAGTCAGCATGGTGTTAAATATACCCTCCAAGCATACAGACAGCTGTATGCTGAGTGAGACCTGATGTTGCGTATAGTTTTCTGCTGAGCATGGCCTGACGACACATCAGACAAGTATGCTTAGCTCTTCTTCTAGATACGCAGACCAGTGCAATAATTTAAAGAAATACCATACGCTGCTTAACATACAATATCTTTCTTTGTATAGCAATTCATAATTATTTCGGTAAGCAGCAGAAACTTAAATTAATTGACTTGAATGTAAACATATAAATCCACTAATTACACGGTATTGACATACAATAATTGGCTTGATGGTGTTGTTCGGTGGACTGGTTTTGGTAGTATTGGTGATTGTGATGTGTCTGAGTGACATGTGTATTATATGTGTGTAGTAAATTATATGGAAACCACGTGATATGAGGGTGATTTATGGCAGAACAATGGAAATTGTGACCGGTAGGCAACATGTCAGGAGAAGGATAAATGATGCACGTTGTGTGACTTCTGTTTTAGTGGGTTATAGCTGAGTGCTGGTTTAATGTAGTTTTTTGGCGAGAGTGTTTTGCATGTATTTGTTTGATACGTTTTTATGTGTGATGGGTGGACCATGTGGGTATCCTGACAAAGTTTTTGTGTTTTTAGACTGTTGAAGGCTCTGGACTGGGTTGTGACCCCTGGCACCCAGGAGTGGTCTATCTTAGACTTTGTGTAGATGTATTGTCAAAAATTACCTGAAGCATTTTTTTTAAATGACAGATCCATTTCATTAGGACATGCGATAGTCTTTTTGTATGTGGAAACATCGATTGCAAGGTTCATTTTTGAGTTTTGCTCAGTAGCTGGAGATTGTGCGCACAGTTTTATCCTTATTCCACTGGTAGAATCGATTTGTCTCCTGATAAACCAATGGTGAAACTTTGGATGAAGGACTAAATGGATTTCCCAAAATCAATGCAATACAATGTAAGACACAACACATTAATACAGTGTTAATGAGTGATTGTATGATTTCAAAGTCTTTTTAGCATTCTAAACTGTATAGATTTGATAGATTATTCACATTCCATCAAGGGTTCCAATGTGAGGAGATTCCGAAAAACTGCATGGTCATGGATACCCAAGGGAATCTGTTTTATTTTGAATGCCTTACACCTGCTGTCTCTTTATCACCAATTGCATTCTGGAAATTGGTACTCATTAAAGGATTACTCCAAGCATCATAACCACTACAGCCCTCTGTGCATGAACACTGGCACAGAATTAACATTAACCAGCCTGTAACTTTTGTTCCGAGCTGGCTGATGATAACCTATGACACTGCCGGAGTTGCATGATTAAGGCCTTAGGGCCGAAACATTGTATCCATTTTTTCTTTGTCTTTTTGGTTTGATAAACCTTTTCGTTTTTGTGCACTACACTGTGATGCCTGTGAAACTCTGTTTAGGGGTTCCACAGATCTCTAAAACAGGGTTCCTCTCTACTATTGTATCTGACAGAGCTGCAGTTACATCTTCGGCGTGCAAGGGATTCCAACCAAGCTCATTTTCCAGATTGGCTGCCAACTCATTGTTTAGTGAACAAAACCTGTGTTTTATCTGGGTCAATCAAACTTGTACTACACGGATATAGCTGGCCAACAATTTTCATAAATCAGTACTTACAATAATATAGGCTCACAATGGTTGGAGATCCAAAGTTTGATTAACTCAAGCAAAGGAGTTTCCTTGCAAATATAATTTTATATGAATGCTTTCCATGCTCAGTAATAAAGTAATATGTGTTACAATCTTTCTGTAATCATGGTTTCCTTCACCCGCATGTCATGGTGATCTCAGCATTCATTGTCCTACGTGGAAACCTTAATTGGGATGTCTGTTTAGATCTAAACATCCCATTCAGTCTGCCTAATATACAGCCGAAGAATGATTTGCTTGTTTGTTCATTCCCTTTAATGTGGTGTTTCCCGTACTGCTTCCACTGGAAGACTGTTCCAGATATCTGCTGCCATTTCTACAAACAGCATTTCCTTGTATTGTGCCTTCATCTTCCACCTTTCAACATCAAACCATGCCGTTTTATTCTGTCCCTTTAGTCTTCACCGAAAATGCTCCTTATTCTGTAATCCCTTAGCGTACATCATACATCTCTTCTCTTCCTTCTCTCCAACATGGTGGGCACATTAAAGGACACTCTATGCAACATACACACTGTATTTCCCTGGCTCTGTCCCACTGTTAGGAATCAAACCGTTTTTGAACGTTTTGACACTTACCTGGGTTTCTACAGTCAGGCTTCTCTAAACAGAAATCACTAGAGCAGCCATTTCCCTTCCCCAATAGATATCCAAATTTTCTTTGTAATTGGACGGAATCCATTGGCTGAGAGTGTAAGCAGACACCTCATTTGTTGAATCGTATACAAACATTAGCTGAAATTCTTACCATTATCGTGGAAAGCCGGTGCCTGGGGACACAGGCAAATGTCAAACCATTTCCAAACAGTTTGACTCCCAACAGTG